CCCCCCCCCAAATCCCCGTATAATTTCTCCACAATTTCTAATTTGAAGGTATACATATGTCTCGGCGGACTGTATAATTTCCATGGTAATGGACCAAATCAAAAGACTTCACTTCCACGTCGCTCACCCCACAACTGCAAAACTATTTTATTTAACTCCTTAAGGACGCCCGTTCTGGTCATTTCGATAAGACCTGAAGATGGTATGTTGAGGGGCATAGCTTTAATAATTTTTATTCAAATAGATTTTCCAATTTTGTTTCCTTTGTCTGAAACTTTAAAAGGCATCGAATCTAAAACGGCATGTATATGTTTTTTGTACTATGAAATATACAAATTAGCATTTCAGATTTGTATCATGGTTAGAAATATGCCGTAAAATTGTCTTTGCTCTGCTGCTGATCGTACATTTTGTCATCACGAGTTCTCTATTTAAAGGTGAACGGGACCCTTCCAGTATAATAATTCTTATCGTCCTTGAATCTTTTCTTGTTTTGCATTTTTTTCCTATCAGACATCTATCGCCCTTATCTCCCCTTCTTCTTTTTATGTTTGTTGCTCTCTGGAACACCTCTAAATCTTCTGGCGCTCATATGACCTTATTATGCAGTTGCGAGCGCCGTAAAACCTCCACTAAAACTAAAAGCTAAAAACTTAATCCAGGCTTTATTCAGTCATTATCCAGCTTCTATTTAGCCTTAATCCAGCATATTATTATTGCCCCCTTTCTTTGTTATTTCTTGCCATCTTCTATTCTCAGAAATGAAGTGACGCTGCTCTTTTCTTCCATTCGGATGTTTTGTTTTGTTTTTTCACTCTGTAGTAACTGTTTAGGTTATGTAAACAAATCTCTCTCTCTCTCTCTCTCTCTCTCTCTCTCTCTCTCTCTCTCTCTCTCTCTCTCTCTCTAAAGCGGATTGAACTGGTTTGAATCTAACACGTGAAGATTTTGAAATAAGTGTTAAATTTATGAAGTTCACATTCTATGGACAATATTCTGCAGGAAAAAAAGCAAAAACATGAGCAAACAGACAAGCTATAAAACAGCAGCAACAGCAGCAACAACATTAACAGCAGCAGCAACAACAACAGCAGCAGCAGCAATAACAGCAACAACAACTACAGCAGCAGCAAAAACAATAATAGCTACGACAAAACAATAAAACAAACAAACACGGACTCTCGGCTTTAATATTACAGGAGTTGGATTAATATTACTGGGTAGGATCACGTGACATCATTTAAGTGAGGAGAAAGTCAAGGGCACTGATACAGCAGATTCAAGGGCCTTTTATCAACGCCTACTTTACATTTTTGGCCCAAATCCGTTGGTCTTGCGTCAATGATGACGTCACAAGCATAGATACATACGACACAGGGGCCTTAATCCGGTGGTCTTGCGTCATTGATGACGTCACAGGGACCGTGACAGTTGATACAGGGGTCATAATCCGGTCATCATAACTCCCCTGATAACGCCCAAATCTGTGCATTAGTTCAGGCACATAATGTAATGACGCCGATAGACGGTTTACAGGATTAACTTTCGTGGTGAAAAAAATGCGCATTTCTTTTCTTTGTTTTGGTTCTTTTTTTCTGATTGCTCATCCATCCACACTCCTCACATGCAAAGCCACGCAAACCGTATACAGAAATAGAATAAAATTAAAAGACATTTAAAATAAACTGACAATATATATAATACTATATATTATATATATATTATT